GTGCCCTCCCCATGTTGCCCCCCTCCCACGCTCATCCTCTCTTACAGATCAAGATCACCCACAAGAACCAGGCGCCCATGCTGATGGCCCCCCCGCCCCGCTCCTCCAGCTTCTTTGGCCTCAAGAAGGGCTCTGTGGAGGGCTAAAGGGGACCGGACCCCCCCACCCCCCAGCACTGGGCAGGGCCCTTCTGTCCTTCCCCATTCTCCGCTGTGCACCCAGGGATGGGTTCCCCCAAGGGGGGGTGGGAGGAGAGGCTGGAGTCCCCACCCCGCTAGGCCCCCCCACACCCGTGCCCTATTTATTACACCCAACCCCCGCGTTTCAAGTGCCTCTTGTAGTAATAAAGCTGGCGGCTGGGCCCCCCCCATCCCCTCCCTTGCAAACAGACGGAGCACAGCTGAGCTGAGTCTTTATTAGCAGCCGGTACTCGCATCCCCCCCGGATCCTGGGGGCTCGGGCCAGGCAGGGGGCTCTGTACTGGGGAGTGGGATGCAGACCCACCTCCCCCCCTCCTAGACAGTGTTGGCACGCAGCAGGGGGCTGCTTTCTCCACTGGGAGCCCCCCCAAAAGCCTGGCGCAGCAGCAGACGCAGGGCAGCACCAGGGGGCAGCCAGCTGTGGGGCCTGGGGGCTGGGGGGGCTGCGGGCAGCAGTGGGCTGTACTTCACACGGCTGCAAGCAGAAGGGAGAGGGGGTGATGCTGTGCTGTCTCCGTGTCCCTCTCCCCCCCCCCCTTTGTCCCAGTCCTTCCCCCTGCTCACCGGTAGGTGTAGGCAGCCGTGCCCAGAGAAGCAACGATGAGCAGCAGCCCCACGGTGAGCGTGGTGCCACCGGCAGCTGGGGACGCTCCTGGGGGGGCAGAAGCAGCTCAGCAGCAGCCCCACACCTCCCCCTCCCCTTCCTCCCCCATCCCATCCCTCTCCCACCTCCGACAGCCACACGGGTGCTGGCCACAGCCAAGCCGTTGCCGTTGGCCAACGAGACGTTGAGGCAGTAGAGGCCGGACTGGTTGAAGTCCTGGCGCAGCACCAGCTGGCAGCCCGGCGCCGGTGCCACGGCCGAGCACGTCTGAGTCTGCGCTGTGCGGCACTCGGCATCCGCCACCACGGTGCACACCTCCTCGGGAAGGCTGGGGGGGGGTCAGTGCGCTCCCAGGACCCCCCAGCCCCCATTGCCATCCCCACGTTCTGCCTAGCTCCAGCCCGTGGGCTCCCAGCTGTCCCCAACCCCGTGCACCGTCCCCCCATCTGCTCCCATCTCTGGCGCACCGTGCCCAGCTCTCCTCACCTCCCCTCGCACGTCACCGTCAGCTCCACGCTGTTTGCGCTGCCTTCAGGCTCTGCAGGCAGCACCTGCACGATGGCCACGCTCTCGATGCCCTCTGTGAGGGGACGGGGTGTCACATGAAGGCTGAACCCCCCTGGACCCCCCCCCAGCCCCTCAGCCCGGTGCTCACGGACGATGTTGAGCTCAGTGGAGAAGCTGCCATAGCGGTACAGGACGCAGCCGCTGGGCTCAGCCTCGGGTGCCTGACGCTTCACCAGCAGCAACGGCTCCGCTGTGGCTCCAGCCATGGCACTGGCAGAGGACACGGCTGTGGCTCCAGCTGTGGGATCTGCTATGGATTCAGCTGTAGCTGCAGCTGTGGGTCCAACTGCATCCCCATCCGTGGCTGCAGCTGTGTCCACAGCTGTGTCCGCAGCGGTGGCTCCAGGGGTGGCTGCGGCCACATCCCCTGCTGTCCCCACACCTGCAGCAGCCCCAAGCAAAGAAGCGGCTGGAAAACGTTTGGAGGGACCCAACCATTCCCTCGCAGGACCCCCCAGGCCAAAGCCCATCTCCCTCTGCCTTGTAGGAACAGCACCCACCTGCCGTCACGCTTCCCTCCACTGCTGTGGGGGCCACAGTGCCCAGAGCGTCCCCACCTGAGGACACTGAGGTGGGGGGCAGGGGGTCTGCAGTGGGGTCTGTACCGGCTGCTGCACCGGGCACTGCAGTGCTGAGCACCGGGTCGGGGATGGGCTCGGTGGCAGCGCCATCTGAGGGCATGGCCACTGAGACCCCCGTGGGTTCTGCGGGTGCCCCGGAGGCTCCGGGTGCTGCTGCAGTGCCAGGTGCTGCGGTGGTCCCAGGTGCTGCGGCGGTGCTGGATGCTGTGGGGGTGCCAGGCGCCGCGGCGGTGCCGGATCCCGTGGGCCCTGCAGGCTGCGTGACCGTGGGTCCCAAGGAAGGCGCTGGCCCAGTGGTGGGATCCACAACCGGGGGTGCAGAGGTGCCGCAGGAGCTGAGCGGAATGGCCGCCTGCAGCACCAGGCGGGCGGCAAAGGAACCGGCCTGCAGGTAGGTGTGGGTGACGGTGGGGCTGCGGGAGATGAGCGTGCCGCTCTGGTCCCCAAAGTCCCACGAGAAGGAGATGTCAGCATCACGCAGGTAATGGCTGGGGTCGTGCAGCCGCACGCTGAAGGCCACGGGGCGGTTGCGCACGAAGCGCCCGCCGTCCCCCGCTGCCGCCTCCAGCTGCGTGACATCCACTGCAATGGGCACCTGGTCTGGGGGACACAGGGACATCAGCGTGGGGACGCTGCGCCCGCTGCCAGCCCGCCCACCCCGCCACCATGTACCGGTGATGCTGAACTGCGTGCTGGCATGGCCGATGGGGATGAACTTCTGGCGGCCACGGTAGTGATAAACCACCACCTCCATGGTGTAGGAGCCCAGGGCCACCCCGTCCGTCCCCACTGTCAGCTGCGACGCCGCTCCGTCCACCACCTGCCAGTAACGCCCTGCGGGGACACCGCGCTCAGGGACATGGGGACGTCCCAGCAGTGCTGGGAGCTCGGCACAGAGCCGTCCTCACCCCACGTCCACCAGACGTAGACGAATCTCCCACGTTTGCCCCAGGCGCTGCGGGGAAAGGGCTGCCCGTCGGGGAAGACGCCATCTGAGCCCTCGGCCAGCTCCTCCGGGAACACCGGCTCCCCCTGCACCACGCGGGTGCCTGCCGGGAGCACAACGTGAGCGAGGCGTTGCTGAGCCCCCGGCTGTGCCCCCGGCGGAGCCCCCGGCTGTGCCCACCATTCACGGTGCAGTTCTGGCTCCACACCACGCGGCCGTCGGGCAGCGCCGTCTGCGTGCTGGGGAAGCGCAGCGCGATGGAGAAGGTGGCCCTGGCGCCCGCCATGGTGGGAGCATCGTTGCTGATGTCGAAGGTGACGTCGCCTCCTGTCAGGCACGGGGACGGCGGCTCAGGGAGCAGCGCCGCGGCCGTCTGTCCCCGCGTCTGTGTGTCCCCGCGCTCACCTCGCCAGCAGTCGCTTTGCTGCGCTCTCCCCTCCTGCCACGGGCGGTACCGCGCTGCGTCCCAGCTCCGGAACGGCGCCGGGCGGCCGGCCCACACCGGGCCCTGAAAGCCACCGCGGCTCCGGCCGCCGCCTCCTGCGGGAAAACGGACAGGGAGGCCGTGGCATCGCGCTGGGACCCCCCGCCCAGCCCCAGAAACACGTGATGGGCTCAGGCTGCGGTGCGGGGCAAAGCCCGTCACATGGTGCTGCCCAAAGCTGTTTCATGTGACGCTCAGCTGAGCTGCAGCGCGGGGCTGGACGGGGTGAGCGCTCCCCCCCGTGTCCCTTCTGTGCCCCACTGGCTGGGGCACGCGGTCCCCACGGGATCCCCATGGCATCGCTTGTGCGCAGAGGGATGGGGGTCCCCGTGGGCTCCCCGTGGGCACACAGCAATGGAGACGCTGCTCCCTCCTCGTGCTGGGGCCTCCCCACAACACGGGGCTGGCTGAGCCCACCCTGGGGGCCCACACCCACCGCAGAGCGCACCCCGAGGCCGATCTTGCTCTCGGAGACTCAGTGCCACTACCCACCCCCAGGCCGTCCCCATTTGGGGTCCCGCAGGTAACCCACGGCTGCCCCACGAAGCCCACGGGCAGCTTACAGCCAGGACCACCCCTCACGTACCCCGGTTGCCTGACGATCCCCCCCCCCTCCCGCAGCCCCACTTACGCTGCTGTGCCGTGGCCAGGGCCAGCAGTGCCGCCAGCAGCACGATGGCCCCTTGAAACCGCATGCTCCCTGCGCTCCGGATCCGGGAGAGGCGAAGGCAATCGGTGCGGGGGGATAAGAAGGGACCCTCTTTACATAGCCCCACCCCGAGGGACGGCCCCGGGGAGGACCTGCGGGTGGGCACGTGTGTGCACGTGTGGGCATGTGTGCGCGCACATGGCTACGGTCACACGGCTCCCGTCGCTCCGCTCGGAGGCGGTGGGTTCGGGGTGTGTGAGACCCCCGCGAAGGGCTCGGCACAGCCACTGCCCCCCGCTCACAGCACAGCAGTGCCTGATCCGTGCGCCGGGTGCTGCAGGGAGCTGGGTTATAGGGGCGACCCTGGAACCCCCCTTGGGATGGGACACATTCGCAGGGAGACCCCCACACTGCACCCACACAGGGGCCCCCCGCTGCATCGGGGCACTGCAGACCCCCAGTTGGCCCCAGCCTATGTCAGCACTGATGGCTGTGGCTGGCAGGATGCACATAGAGGGCCATGAAGTACTGCGCTTGTGTGCATGGGAACCTCGTGCGTGGGACTGCGTGCGTGACAGCATGACCGCGGGGACGGCGTCCGCGGGACCGTTTGCCTGGGAACACCGTGTGTAGCACTGCATTCGCAACAGCCTGATAACAACCCGGGCTCAGGGCCTGTACCGCAGTCAGGGCGGCTGCTCTGCCATCGGCGTCCCGGGGAAAGAAGGCGCGCGGGGACGCAGCACCCGCGAACGCCGCACGCGTGGGTCGAGAGGCGCCCACCCCGCGCCTGTCGCTTTAAGAGATCTCCCGCGCCGCCCCCCGCCCGGCCGCGGGCTCAGCCAATGGGACGCCGCGAGGGGCGTGGCCAGCGGCCGGCGGGAAGCGGCGCGGGCGGGGCCCTGGGGTTGTGGCGCGCCGGGGAAAAGCGGCGGCCGCGATCGTTCCGTGCCCGGCCCGGGACCCCGGGACACCGCAACCCCGGGCCGCGCCCCCACCGCCCGGGGCCGCCCCCCCACCCAATGGAGAACTTCCAGAAGGTGGAGAAGATCGGGGAGGGCACGTACGGCGTCGTATACAAGGCCCGGAACAAGGTCACGGGCGAGGTGGTGGCGCTGAAGAAGATCCGGCTGGACACGTGAGCGGGGGGGGGGCGGCGGGGGGGGGGGCGTGGGGGGCACCGGGAAGGGCTCAACCCGCTCCTCCCCCAGGGAAACCGAGGGCGTCCCCAGCACGGCCATCCGAGAGATCTCGCTGCTGAAGGAGCTCAACCACCCCAACATCGTCAAGTGAGGGGGGGCGCGGGGGGGGCGCGGGGAGGGGTGTAGAGAATCTATGGGGACGCTCTGCTGGCAGCCGGCTGCGTGGGGAGGTTTGGCTGGGGGTTGTCTGAGGGCTGTGGGGGTGTTTGGGGGCTGCAGAAGGCCTGAGGGGCTGGGGGGAGGATTGAGAGCTGCAGAGGATCCGGAGGCTTCGGGGGGGTCTGAGGGCTGCGGGGGGGTCTGGGGGCTGCAGGGGGGTCCAGATGCACTGGGGTGGGAGGGGGGTGATGCTAGCACCCAGGCCACCCCTCCTCCAGACTGCTGGATGTGATCCACACGGAGAACAAGCTCTACCTGGTCTTTGAGTTCCTGCACCAGGACCTGAAGAAGTTCATGGATGCATCGTCCCTGGGCGGCATCGCGCTGCCGCTCATCAAGGTGGGTTGGGGCGGGGGTGGCGGGGGGGCACGGGGCAGTGCTGACCTCCCCCCCTCCCATCCCTGCAGAGCTACCTGTTCCAGCTGCTGCAAGGCCTGGCCTTCTGCCACGCACACCGCGTGCTGCACCGAGACCTCAAGCCTCAGAACCTGCTCATCAATGCCGACGGTGCCATCAAGCTGGCTGACTTTGGGCTGGCACGCGCCTTTGGGGTGCCTGTGCGCACCTACACGCACGAGGCGGGTGTAGGGATGGGGGGCTGCGGGCAGCAGGGGTGGCTCTGTGCTCAAAGTCTGCCCCCCCCACCCCGCAGGTGGTGACGTTGTGGTACCGAGCGCCTGAGATCCTGCTGGGCTGCAAGTATTATTCGACTGCTGTGGACATCTGGAGCCTGGGCTGCATTTTCGCCGAGATGGTGAGCGGGGGGAGGGGGGTGGAGTAGCAGGGGAGGGGCTGCATCCCCGTGGGACAGCAGCTGCTACTCCAGGGGACACCTGGGGTCACTGAGGGATGCCCTGGAGGTGCTGTGGGGTTGCCCTGAGGGCACCAAGGGGACACTGTGGTCATACTCTGGGGACACTAAGGAGCTGCCCTGCTGAGACCTTTGGGATACGCTGGGGGTATCCTGGGAAAACCAAGGACGTGCCCTGGGGACACTGAGGGGACACTGTGGTCACGTTCTGAGGTCACCAAGGATGTGTCCTGGAGGACAGGGCACTGCGGTCATACTCTGGGGACACTAAAGATGTGCCCTGAGAAACACCAAGGGGATGCTGTGCTGACACCCTGGGGACACAAAGGACCTGCCCCACTGACACCTATGTGATACCCTGGGGATACCCTGGGGATACCACCAATACACGCCCTGGGGACACTGAGGGGACACTGTGGTCGCGTTCTGAGGTCACCAAGGGGCGCTGTGGTCACACACTGTGGACACTCAGGATGTGCCCCAGTTTGCCCCCATGCTGCCATCTCAGCCCTGACATCACTGCACGCGGGGCCGGCCGCGAGCACAGAGGCACAAAGGGGCTCTGTGGGTGCCGGGGGGGTGGGGGTGGGGGAGCATCATGTGAGCCCCCAGCCCAGACCCAGCATCACGGGGTGCTCACGCGGGGCGGGGGCCGTTTGATGCCACCACGTGCAGGTGACGCGGCGCGCGCTCTTCCCCGGGGATTCAGAGATCGATCAGCTCTTCCGTATCTTCCGCACGCTGGGGACTCCGGATGAGGCCGCCTGGCCCGGCGTCACCGCCCTGCCCGACTACAAGCCCAGCTTCCCCAAGTGGGCCCGGCAGGATCTGGGCAAGGTGGTGCCGCCGCTGGATGAGGAGGGCCGCAAGCTGCTGGCGGTGAGCACAGGGCCGGGGGGGGACGGTGAGGGGAGACGCAATGAGGAGCCCCCCCCCCCCCCTCACCGTCCCCAATTCTGCTTCTCTTCAGCAAATGCTGCACTACGATCCCAACAAACGCATCTCGGCCAAGGCAGCGCTGGGCCATCCCTTCTTCCGTGATGTCACCAGGGCTGTCCCCCACCTGCGCCTGTGAGCACTGGGCTGGGGGTGGGCACGTTGGCTGCAGACAGCGCGAGCGCAGAGTGGGACACTGGGACCCCCGGCCCCCAGGACTGCTCGGGGCGGGGACCCCCCCTTTGCCTGGGCTCTCGGGCACTTACAGCTGAGGGTGAGGTGGGAGGGCGAGGGACAGAGCCTTCCCCCTCCCTTTGTCCCCCTCTCCTCCATCCCCGGGGTGGCAGTGGGGGTCCACCTCTTCCCTCCCCCCCGCGGGCTTTTCCTCGCTGACTTTTGTAACTTTTTTGCCATTTTGTAGTTGACATTTAAAGCCCTTTGTGCAGCTCCTGTTCAGCAGTGCCTGTGGGACATGGGGGGGGTTGTGGGTGTCTGACCCCTATCAGCCCCTCCTCAGCTGGCTGGGAGCAGTCTGTCCTCTGTCACCTGCCTGCAGCTCCCCCAGCACCATCCTGTGCATCTGTAGGGCTGCTATGCCCGTAGGGCTCCCCAGTGGCTGCCCCCAGGTCCTTGAAATACCAATAGGGCCCATATGTGCCCCATCTCTTCACAGCACCCATACATGCCACACGGTCGCCGTAGGGCCCGTTGTGTCCCATAGTCCCTATATGGTCCATACACGTCCCTGCGTCCCACTGCCCCATCCACGCCCCCATAGGGTCCGTATGAGGCCCCGGTCCCTGTAGGCCCCGCCCCCTGGCGCTATGAAGCGCTGCTACTGGCCAGGCTTAGCCCCGCCCCCGCCGAAGACCGCAGCGCAAAAGTGAAGGAGAGCCGCTGGGGGTCAGAGGTCGCGGCTCCCGGCGGCCCCCGCAGCTCCACGGGCTGTCAGTCATGGGCAACCCGGCCCGTGAATGGCCGCGAGGCACCGCCCTACGTTTCGTCATTCATCGCGCCGCCAGCCGCGGGTTGGCCCGGCTGGGCCTCCTCTGCCCTGTGATTGGTCACTGCTGCAGCAGGGGTCCGCCCCCTTCGGTCACCTTATTTGTTCCTGGTGACGCCCCCTACGCGGTGACGCATCCCGCTGGCCGGGCGCTCCGTCATTCACCTCTGGCCCCGCCTCCCCGCGGCATTCCTACTGACCACTGGCTCACCGTTCCCTTACTCCTATTGGCGGTGCCGCGCTGCCCATCCGTCCAATCACCGTCTTCCATAGGCCGTCTCGCGCGGGGCGGGGGCGATGACGCATACTCCGCCACTCCCATTGGCTGCGCCGACAGGAAGAGGCGTGCCCGCCGCCCCGTCGCGCGTCGCCCATTGGCGGAGCCGCGCCTTAATCCCGCCCGCGAGAGGAGGGCTGGGCTGAGGCGCTGTTTGTGTGCTCGGGCCGCAGCGGGAGGCCGGGGCCGCAGGTACCGGGAGCGGGGCGGCTGCAGGCGGGGCCGAGCGCCGGGCCGGATTCCGGGCCGCCTCCCGCGCGTGCAGGCTTTGGAGCCCAGCAGGGCTCGCCCAGAGGGACCGGAACAGCCGGGTCCGGCCTGGGCCCGGGGTTGGGCCCGGCCTGGGGCGGGGACCGGGTCCGCCGTGCCGCGGTGCGCCGAGCTCCCGGGGGGAGCCGTGGGCTGCCGGAGTCCCACGGGTGGAGCTCGGGGCCGGGCGGGTACCGGGCCCGGTTCTGTTCTTTCGGTATCCACAGGGGCTCTCGTTACCGAGCCGAATTCCTCTGGTTTTCCCCCAATTCGATCTCCCCGCGGCTCCGCCCGTTCCGAGGCGCCGGCGGGGAGCCGGGCGCACCGCCGCGGGGGGCGCAGGCCGGGGGGGGAGGGGGGGGAGAGCGAACGCCCGGTGTTGGCCGCCCCCGGGCCCCCCGCCCGAGGAGGCGGCACCCGGCGGTCCGGTGAGGGCCGAGAGAGAGTGCGACCGCCCCACTGTGCCAAATGGAAACGGTGCTGCGTCCGGCAGAGCCGCCAGAGATGAAGAATGCACCGGGACCGGGCGGCGCGGGCTCTGTTTTAAAGGGCCCCTTTATGTCCCACCGGAGGTCGCCGGTCCTGCAGCCGCCTCGGCAGTGGTGCGAGTGCGGTTGGGACATAGGAGAAGTCTGCCCGGTAACAGGAAAGCAGTTGGCCCTGGCGGCTGTTGCAATGCTGTACTGTGCTGCTGCTGGCGGCGCTGCTCCCAGGGGCTCCGCGTCCTCGTAGGGTCAGGGTGGGGTCCTGCGGTGGGAGACTTTACCTCCCGATTCAGCCCCGCATGATGTGGAGCCGTCGCTGCTGCAGCTGTGCGCTCTGTACTGGGGGAGCTGCGCAGCACGGTGCCCCACAGTCAGCGCCTGCTGGTGTTTCATGGGCCTGTGTGTGCTTATGGAGCTCAGTGCTTCGCACCTCGAGTCACAGTGAGCACTGCTGGCTGTGACACAAAGGTGTGGTGGGAGTAACTGTGTACAGTTCAGCTTGGTTGCCTCTGCAGGTGAGAGGATTTGGTGTAACAGGAGCAGCCGGTGGTCCTGGGGCTGGTGCTGTAGGGTGTGCGTGCTGCAGCACTGCATCCAGCCCGTGGAAGTGCAAAGGTGAAGTGGAACCTCCCCCCCCCCGGGGCTGGGCCTGAGGGGGCTGTGGGTTGTGGGGGCTGTGAGGCTCAAGGCCTGGGCTCAGCACTGCATGGAGGTGCTTCGTTCGCAGCCGTGCGTGGGGGCGCAGGCACTGATGGCCTTCCCCTGTTGGCTGTGCTCCAGCAGCTGTTTGTGTCCTACAGCCGTATGGGAGGTGAGCCTTAAAAGAAAAATAATGAATGAATGAGATTAGCTTGAAAAGCACAAACCTTGCTTTCCCTGCTGTCCCGGTGTGGGAGCTGAAGGACTCGGGCTGCACGGTGACCCATCAGTGCTGTGGCTGAAGGAGCTGCTGATGCGGATGGGATGCGCTGTGCTGTCTGCTCTGAGTGCGTGCCGAGGGAAAGCAGAAAAAGAACCTCAGGCTGAGGAACTTGGAGGCTGAGCTGCGGAGTCGGTTCCCAGCTTCTCCTCTGGGCAGGGAGAGGTGAAGCAGCTGAGGAATCTGTGCTGTGGTACAAACAGGAGCAGCCTGGGACGCGAGGCTAAGCCTTGTCCTGGCAGAGGCGCTGCCTCCCCTGGGCGTCACTCGGGGTCAGCCTTTCCCACCCAGCTCCTGGGAGTCGCTCTGGAAGCAGAGCAGTCAGGTCCTCGTTGTGCACCCAAGGGTGCCCGCGCCCGTCACACCTGTACTGCATTTGGCCGGAGGGATTTAATGGTGCAGCACGCAGTGACCGACTGCTTTCCTCCCCTTCCAGGACTGCCTGGTGGAACCAACGCCTGCGCTCCCAGCGTCGGTGCCTTCCCGGCTCTCAGCAGGGCAGGAGCCCAGCAGCAGCCCGGCCATGACCAGCAGAGGAGCCGCCAGGCCGAACGGGCAATCCCAAGCCAGCAAAATCTGTCAGTTCAAACTGGTGCTGCTGGGCGAATCGGCGGTGGGGAAATCCAGCCTGGTGCTGCGCTTCGTCAAGGGGCAATTCCACGAGTACCAGGAGAGCACCATCGGGGGTGAGTCGCTGGGGGGCGCTGCCTGCAGGCTGCACCGGGGCTGGAGCTGCGCTCCTGCGGCTGCCGCCTCCATTTGTGCCTCGTGCCGGCTTCCCTCTCCCGCACCTTCGATCACCGGGGGCCGGGCGGTCGTGGGCTGGGCGCTGGGGGGCAGCGGGGTGATGCTCACATCCTCCTCCCTCCCGACAGCGGCGTTCCTCACACAGTCCGTCTGCCTGGACGACACAACGGTGAAGTTTGAGATCTGGGACACGGCGGGCCAGGAGCGATACCACAGCCTGGCCCCCATGTACTACCGGGGGGCGCAGGCCGCCATCGTGGTCTACGACATCACCAACCAGGTGAGGCTCTCGGCTCAGGCTCAGCCCGTGGTGGGTGGTCCCTGGGGGGCGCCCGCCTCGTGGTAACCCCACATCTCCCCCTCTCTGCTCCCAGGAAACATTTGCACGGGCGAAAACATGGGTGAAAGAGCTGCAGAGGCAAGCCAGCCCCAGCATCGTCATTGCGCTCGCGGGCAACAAAGCCGACCTGGCCAGCAAACGTATGGTGGAGTACGAAGTAAGTGTCAGCTGCCCACCCTGCAGCCCCCCCGTGGCTGCTGGAGCCTCACCTGGCTGCTCTGTTCCAGGAGGCGCAGGCTTACGCAGATGACAACAGCCTGTTGTTCATGGAGACGTCGGCCAAGACGGCGATGAATGTGAACGACCTCTTCCTGGCCATCGGTGAGGCTGCAGGGGGAGGGGGGTGGGGGGTCATAGAATCATAGAATCACCAAGGTTGGAAAAGACCTTCAAGATCATCCAGTCCAACCGTTCACCTATTCCCAGTAGCTCCCACTAAACCATGTCCCTCAGCACAACATCCAGCCTTTCCTTGAACACCCCCAGGCTCGGTGACTCCACCACCTCCCTGGGCATCCATTGCAGTGCCTGACCACCCTTTCTGAACAGTAATACTTCCTCATGTCCAGCCTGAATCTTCCCTGCCGTAGCTTGAAACCATTCCCCCTGGTCCTATCACTGATGACATGAGAGAAGAGGCCGACCCCCAGCTCACTACAGCCTCCCTTCAGGCAGCCATAGAGAGCAGTGAGGTCTCCCCTGAGCCTCCTCTTCTCCAGGCTGAACATTCCCAGCTCCTTCAGCCTCTCCTCATATGGCCTGTGGGTCCTGCAGGGTGAGGGGGGGGCGGTTCCCTCACAGCCCGCCCTGCTGTGCGATGCGGAGCCGATGCCTCCTGAGCGCGGCGTTGGGGCTCAGGGCAGCTCTTCCTCCTCCCTGGAGCGGCACTGGGAGCCCTGCTGATGCTTCTCTCCCCCCTCCAGCCAAGAAGCTGCCAAAGAGCGAGCCCCAGAGCACGAGCGGTGCAGCGGGGAGGAGCAGAGGCGTGGACCTTCACGAGCAAACCCAGCAGAACAAGAGCCAGTGCTGTAGCAACTGAAGGGCGGCCTTCGGCAGCGGCCTGCGAGCGAGGAAGAGCTGAAATATAACCTCCAAACCTCCGCCCCCCTCCACCACACCTCACCTCCCCTCCGTAACGGCGCACCGAGAAAAACCCACCCGAACCAGAACCCTCCCGAGAGCTCTAACTGCACTTTTTAATGCTTCAAAGCCACCACCAGACACCCGTGAGCACCATCCCGATGGCAGTGGAACTCCATCCGCCGGGGACTTAACTTCCAGAGGGGGGAAACAAAAAAAAAAAAAAAGAAAAAAAAAAAAAAAAAAGAAAAAACCAACAAACTCTTCTTCACTTTGTACGATAGGTGCAAATAGCGACCTGACCGCAGCTCCTCCCTCTGCCTTTCTCCCTCTCCCACCTCCCTCTTTGC